AGGGTTTCAGTGGAAAGTCACAGATCAGGGCTGTTCTACGATAATCTCTTAGCATCAGTGTTTGCATAGGCTGGGGCTTTACTATGTAATCCAGGCCAGAGGTGATATGGTCTGAACCAGACTTGTCACCCCTGGTGTGTTCTCCCACCACTGCTTGATGTGGGATTCAGAGCCTAGAGCAGGAAGTGGCTCAAGAAGAAGGAACAAGCCAGGCCCTGAAGGAGGAGGCCCAGCGGAGGGAGACAGCCCTGCAGCAGCTGCGCACAGCTGTGAAAGAGGTGAGTAACATGAACTAGGCTTCTTGGTACTGCCTCCACAAACCTGATTTCTCTGTGTACCCTCCCCATCCCTGCTCCCACAAGAACCCCCACAGTTGAGAGGTCCCTGCTGAGCTTTTTTTGGCAGAGGAATCAGAAGCAACATTGTACCATCCTTTGTATTAAAGGTCCTAAGCCTGTCTTAGAGTGGCCATAATTACCCAGGAGTGCTCTTTGGATGTGGAAAGTCATTCTCTCTCCTCTTGTGTTCCTGCAGCCACACATTTGTATGGTTGGGGAGGAGCGGTTCAAGAAGACTGAGGGTTTGGTTGTCCTCATGGAGTAAACAGAGCTGTCAGCAGGGGGCAACCAAGTTCGCTGGCCAAGTCCCTAGGAAGGAGTCTCCCAGAGCTAGGACTGTCACATGGCCCAGAGTGGGTGTAAAGGGCTGGGACTGGAGGAGGAACTCTCTTCAGTGTCTTTAAAAGAGAATAGAGGAAGGGAGGGAAGGAGAGTGGGTTAAGCTGTTCAGGGAGAGGTGGGAAGGAAAGAGACAGATGTACATGAATAGCTGGTCTATGTAGTAACTCCACTGAGGGGAGGCTTTGAAAAGGCAGGATACATTCCAGCTCTGTGTTTTCCAGGTCCCCAGCTTCTCCAGCCCCCTGTCTAGTGGCCACTACCTGTCATGTTGTCTTTCTTGCCCCCTTTATCTGTCTGATACACTCTGATCAGGCTGGCTGGTGGCCACTTTTGTCCGGGTGGCAAGGAGAGATTGAAACCAGTGTCTCCTCAGATTTCATGGTTCACGTTAAGCCTTCTCTAATAGCCTGGCTAACAGAGTTGGCTGAGGGACTGGCTTCAGATAGAGTTCTGAGGGGCGGGAGTATCTTCTCTGGTTCCTGAACAGAAACCTGAAGGCTGATGACTCAGTCTGCTGGGGAATGGTTTCCTCTCCAGTGCTGGAGCCCTGAGGGCCCAACCTACCTGCAGGAGAGACTAGGCCTGATATTGTTGGGGGTGGGCGGGGAACGTCGCCTGTGACTCATAGCCTCCCCACCATACACACATATATACATATATACACACTCATGCACAGATAGTCGGTCTTTCCCTGGGGCTGGGTTAATGTGCTTGTCTGTCTATTCAGCTTTCAGTGCAGAACCAGGACCTGATTGAGAAGAATCTGACGCTCCAGGAACACCTACGCCAGGCCCAACTAGGGTCTCCATCTTCACCAGATACTGCCCAGCTGGCATTTGAGCTGCATCAGGAGTTATCCAGTTGCCTTCAAGATCTGCAGGCAGTCTGTAGCATTGTGACCCAGAGGGCCCAGGGCCGTGATCCCAATCTCTCCCTACTCCTGGGCATTCACTGTGAGTCCTCAGGCCACTGCAGGACCCAGGAGAGAGTGGTTTTCATTCTCTTCTCACCCCCATCCAACTCTCCCGTCTTTAGGGTAACGTGTGAACAGAGCTGTGTAGGCCTGGCCACTGCCCTCTTTGGAGTTCATGTGTTTTGCGAAGGATGTTCAGTAAATCTGTTTTGGAAACAGGCATCCTTGAGGGGTACCTGGGTGCAGAACAAACAAAAAGTGGCTCTTAGGCAGCAAGTTTTCAGCCCACTGTCCCCAGCTGCTTTTTTAAAAGTGTCATATCCCAAGATCATGGGCCCCAGGGTACTGCCTATCCATACTGCCCCCTCCATGTGAAAGCGTCTCCTAGCACACTTACTAACATTCTCTCAATACTCTCCTCCCCAGCTGCACAGCACCCAGGGACTCAGCTAGATTTGCAGAAGCCGGATGTGATCAGGAGGAAACTAGAAGAGGTTCAACAGCTGCGCCGTGACATCGAGGACTTAAGGACCACCATGTCAGACAGATATGCACAGGACATGGGAGAAAACTGTGTCACACAGTGAGGAATGCTGGGGGTGGGATAGGCTGTATTCCTTCAGGGAGGATCTGGTTTGCTGAGAGCCCAGTCGGGCAGGTCCTGCCCTGACAATCTCCTGCCTCCTGTCTGCTGCTGTTCCCAGAGAGGAGGTGAAGGGGAGGTAAGAGCCTGCATCTGGGGCCAAGGGCTGATTAGGGAACTGTGCCTGCCCTGCTCCACACTGGCTTTGCCTTGTTGGGTTGCATTTGTTCTCTCATCTTGATTTACCCTTTGAGGGGGAGTTACTAATTAACTTTTGCAGGTCGACTGATAAGTCCTCACAGACTGTTCCCAGCTCCAGGCAGACGTCAAAGGCAAACAGGCTGCTCACATCCCTTCTCCATCCTCTGGGATGGATCCACATTCATTCCCACTCCATGCCTTGGTCCTGCTGATGCCCAGAGTTCATTAGAGGGGCCTGGAAAGGCTGAGTACCAGTAACAGTGGCCATTTGAGAATTCTAAGGCCCCATATGCCAGCCTGCCTGGGAGCTGAGCTGGCTTTCTGGGTTTTCTTAGGCCCAGTTTCACTGCTGCTTCCTCAGGGCTCTTGTTCTCATAGACGCCTCAGGGTGATCTGTTCATTAGCAAAGCACTCACTAGAATGGGAGGCCTGGGGGTTATAGCCAGGGCTCCTTCATCTGTACTATCAAGTCTATCACAGGAAACCCCACTCTCCAGGTGCCCTGTCCCCTTAGGACCCTAGCCATGTGGTTAACACAGCCCCTTTGCCTTTGTTCTCAGGCCGTCCATGTAGCCCTTTTCTTGGGCTTTGAGTGCGAAGTCTTCTCTATGGTTCTGGGTTTGGGCAAGATTTTCCCCCAGAATACCACAGGGCATCTGTCAAGCTGCTCAACCCCTCCCTTTGGGCTCGGGCCGGCGCCCAGCCCTCTCATTTGTGCCTCTCTTGTGTTTGGAGATGGAGGTCCTTTCCCTTTCCTGCTCTGGGCTCTTTGAGAGTTCAGAGTACCCAGTACGGGCTGGCTTTAAGGTACAGCTTTTAGTGTTATCAGTGCAGGAGGGCGTTGTTTGTTTCTTCGGGCCTGTGGACCCTCTGCTTTCTGGTTTCTCTTGCTTCCTCAATTGGGGAGCATCTCACAATTGTTTGTATCTGGTTGTTGGGGTGACTGCAGGCCTCCTCTGGATCTGGAATCAGGCCAAGCTGGGCTGTGTGGGGATGGGGAAGCCCAGAGTCAGCCACTACTCAATTCTTGCTAAGCTTTGGGCTATCAGGGCAGCATCCTGGACCTCACTCCTAGGCCTGAATGAGACTCCTTATTAAGTGTTTTTAAAGTTTGTGTTTTATTTATGGAGTGACTTATTCCTTCCATTCACAACAGCCCCACCCAGCCATCCCCTCAGCCTCTGGGCTCCTGCGTCCTAAAAGCAGAGCTGCCTGGTTGGTCTCCACCCGAGTTGGGAGCCCAGCCACCATGCTCACGGGTATTTTTCCTCATAAAGTTTATAAGCAGTTATTTATATGAATCTTTGTTATGTCAACTGGTTTGTATTGCCTATTTTGATTACAAAATAAAACATTTAACAGACTCCTCAGTTTTCCATTGCTTTCCATCACCACCATCCCCTACTCCACCCCTCATTTTGGCTTGTTGGAGCCAAAACCCTGGGTGTTTAGCCAAGTTCCCCAGAGAGCTGCAAGAAGGGACCTTTCGCAGGTCCAGCCTCACGTCTACATCTCTACCACTTCCGCTCCCCTCTCATTCTATGAGGACAAATAAGATCTCTTCCCACACCGCTGTCTATTGGGCGAAACTGCCCTGAGTCATAAAGCAAGTTTGTCATTGGAAGGAGTTTCAGTAATCCTCTGAGAGAGGAAGTCTGCTGCCTCTGGATTGCTGTGAAGAAGTGGCTTCCCCAAGCACTGCAGGGCACGGTTTGCCCCAGGGAGCTAGGGCTGTCTTCCTGGACTACTCTCTGAGCCCTGGACCTGGGGGGACTTCCGAGGGGTGTCATATCCAACCCAAGACAGAGAGCTGAGTCTCTAAAGCTGAGCTGGTTGCTGGAGTCTGCTCCCTCCAACCCCCCTGAGTTTTTGCTGGGAGTAGGAGCAGTTTTGAAGTGCCATCTGCATCAGGGAGTTGGAACTGAGCTGGGGCCACTCCGAGACCAGCTGCTGTGGATCTTTAGCAAGGGCCCAGGCTCCCCGGAGTCCTGACACCAACCTCTGCGGCCACCCTTTGCAGAGCTAGTAGCCTCTTAACCTTGCCTCCATCTGGCTCCTTGAGGGTGTGGCCCTGTCTTCAGCCACCACTCTTTCTTGTCTAAACCTGCCTATTTGAGTGGAGAGGAAGTGTGGGGAAAATCTCTTAAGCGGGGCTGTTCCTGTTTTGGTGTGCCTCCTGTCCCGTGGAGTTAGCCATGTGTGGGTGTCCCCCGAGGGTGTGGGGAGGGGTTCCGTGGAGCGAGGTTCGCTAGCTTGGGAACTTCAGGTTTGGAAACAGCATAAGCCTTCAAAGCCAAGCTGTGCTACGTGCTCTCGTGGCTCCGAGGTGGGTAGTGGAGTGCAGCAAACCCGGGCGAGGCTGAGGAGCAGGCTTTTGCCAAACCTTCGCCCCTGCCCTCCCGGCCTTTCCCGCCACGGGGTCTCTCGGCAGCCTCAAACTGTGAGCCCCAGATCGGGGGAGGGCCGAAGGGGGAGGTACTGCGAGGGACTGGGGTCCTGGGCCCGTCCGGCCCCTGAGCGGGAGGGGGGTCGGCGGCGCGCTGGGCGGGGTCGCTCAAGCCACGCCCCGGCCGCGCGCCTGCCCGCGCCGCCCATTGGTCCCGAGAGCAGTGACTCGCGGGCTGAGCAGGAAGGAAACCGCTCCCGAGCGCGGCGGCGTCGTCTCCAGGCCGTAGAGCTGCCGCTCCCGCCTCCCGTCCGCCTATCGGCCCGTCCGTCCACCCGCAGCATGAGCGGCCTGCGCGTCTACAGCACGTCGGTCACCGGCTCCCGCGAAGTGAGTGCGCGCCCGGGGCCCGCGCTGCCGGAGAGCGCGGGCAGCCGAGTCCCGGTGCTCCGGACCCGGTGCCCGGGACCCGCCCCCAGGGCGAGGGCGAGGGCGAGGGCGAGGGCGGGGGCGGGGCGAGGGGGGCGACGAGGTGGGCACGGCCTCTTGGGTGGGGTCCAAGGGTGGGCTTCACATCCCCATCCTGAACCCCTTCGCTGGGCATCCTGGGTCCTCAGCAGCATCAGCGCGCCCACGGGATGCCCACGCCCATCCTCCGTCACCCGGACATCCATTCTCTGCACCCCCACTACCAGCTGACCCTGACCACGGCCTTATGTTGCCCTGTCTCTCCTCCACCGTGTGTGTACTGAACCTGGGGCGGGGGTGGCCCCCTACCAGCCTCCACCCAGGCCTGCCCTGCTTTTCCTTCGCTGAGCTCCTGGCTCTCCCCATGCTGAACTTTATCCCACTTCCCTTCATTCTGACTCCTCTCCCCCATGGTTGGTGGTCCCACTCTCATCCTGCACCACCGAAAGCCTGACTCATCCTCCCAACTCCTAGTGGCCAGAACCTCCCCCAGGGTGTGGAGGGAGACAAGGGACAAAAGCTCCTGGCCACAGCCCTTTTCTCTCTGCCTAGGGTTCCCCCCATAAGTCCTCCAGCATGCTTGCTAACCCCTGCCTGCCCTCTGCCCCCAGATCAAGTCCCAGCAGAGCGAGGTGACACGCATCCTGGATGGGAAGCGCATCCAGTACCAGCTAGTGGACATCTCTCAGGACAACGCCCTGCGGGATGAGATGCGAGCCTTGGCAGGCAACCCTAAGGCCACCCCACCCCAGATTGTCAACGGGGACCAGTACTGTGGGGTATGGGCCCAGGGGTTGGGGGTGGGGGAGTGTTGTAGGAGGACCCCAGCCAGAGTCACACCTGAGACAAAGCACCAGCACTCAGGTGACCACCTCTTGCCTCCCTCCCCCAGGACTATGAGCTCTTCGTGGAGGCTGTGGAGCAAAACACGCTGCAGGAGTTCCTGAAACTGGCCTAAGCCAAGCTGGCCCCCTCGACTCCATCACCACATTCCCCCCAGGCATCGCCCGCCCAGCCACGAAAGACCCTGTGACCAATTCCCTGTTATTCCTAACCTTCTGGCCTTGGAGCCCCTCCCCTAACCCAAGCCCCTTCTCCTCCCCTGTTGCCCCCTCTCCCCATTCAAAGGCCACATTCCTTACCCACTAGTCTCAGAAATTGTCTTAAGCAACAGCCCAAGTGCTGGCTGTCCTCAGCCAGGCCCTGGGGCTGCCACCCTGCCTGACACTGGCTGATGGGCACCTATGTTGGTTCCATTAGCCAGGGCTCTGCCAAAGGCCCCGCAATCCCCAACCTGGGACCACCCTAGAGACAATTAAATGTCCCATTCCATTAGCACCGTGTCTGTTTGGTGTGGTCTGGGCATCTTGAGTCCCTGCTTTGAGCAAGGCTGATAGTTGTGACTGTGCTGTGGCCGTGCTCCTGTGGGCAGGTGGGTCAAGCTGTTCTGTGTGGCGCACGTGTGTGTGATAGTGCATGTGTATGGATATATGGCCGGCACATGCATACCTGTGTGGACCAGTGGTTTCTGGTGACAGTGTGGGTGAGTCCCTCTCCAGTTCACATGCATGTGATGGTGTCCATGCCACGCCTATGCCTTGGTGTGTACTGCACATTTGCATGCCTGTAGTAATGTGGCTGTCTGCCTATGTTCCAGCAGATTGGTTAAGTGTGGGTGTGTCATGGGAGTGGGTACACAGCTGTAGTTCTTCCAGTTTGGGGACAGTGGGGACAGTGGCTTTGTGCATAGCATTGAGGAAGTGTCCCCACGTGCTTGTGGTTCTGTGCATATCTGCACACAGGGATCTGCTGGCTGCACAGTTGCACTCATGAGTCTCTGCTACCCCAGCTGAGGCTGAGGTGGGGGCCCACCTTCCCTCCACTGGATTCACTTCCCTCCACTGGATCACCTTCCCTCCACTGGATCGGCTTAGCCCTTCTGGGGAAAAGGAGGAATCTAGAGGACAAAGACCGAGAGTCAGGCCAGCCAGCTGGGGATCAAGTTACGGAGGGGTGGGTCGGCACTGCCCACTCCCCCGGCCCAGCTGGGCTGCCCTGCCAAGAGAGACTCAGGGAGCAGCCGGTGTCTGTGTCCATGTTGGGGCAGGCGCTTTATTTGGAGCAGGGGCCGGGGGCAGGCGGTGGGGCCCGGGGCACCCGCAGCAGCAGTGCTGCGTTGGGTACCAGGCCTGCAGCCTGCAGTGTGAGCGTGTCGTCGTGGTAGACTGTAGGTGGGAACGTACTGAAGATCTCGAAGGTGGTGGCGTCCACGGCCCTGGGGACCCAGAAGAATGGATCAGGCTGGGTCACGGGGCCAGAGACCCCTGCAGCCACCAGCCCGCCCCATGCCCACCTGGCCTGTGCAAGCAGGGTGCGCACATCGCCGACAGTGTCCTCGGGCCGCATCATTAGGAGGAAAGCCTGCTCGCCATTCTCAGACTTGATGCGCAGCATGGAGAGCGGAGGCGCTGGTGAGTCGGGTGACTCTTGGCTCCTGCCGGCCCAGAGGCTGTCAGTGCCCACCCTCCCCCAAAGCCCAACCCCCAAGGTCCTCGCCTCTCCATTCTGCCCTCACCTCTCACGCTCAGCAGCCAAGGCAGGTGTCTCCACTACGATCTCCTGGATCCGGGCAGGCAAGGGGCAGCAATTCTGGAAGCCGTTGATGGAGAGTGGACAGAGCTCTGGGTCCTGCCTGAGTCACACCCTTCCCCTCAACCCTTAGAGGGGACTTATCCCTGGTCCGGGATGGATGAAACCAATGAGCCAAACGGGGAGGGGATGTTCTGTGTAAACTGGGGTCCAAGGAGAGGAAATGGAAGGGAAGCTTTGGGAGGTGGCCGCACTATTCCCCCCCAGAAGCCTTGAGGTTCCTCAGTCTAGTGGGGGAGACAGAACCCCACACAGACATGACCAGGCTGGACGCCTAACCCAGTATGAGTCTGGGAAGGGTTCCCTGGGGAAATGACACCTGAGCTATGACTAAAAAGTGAGGAGTCCTTAGAAATGGAATTGGGGGGATAGTCCAGAGAGCATGGGCAAAGATCCCCAGGTCAGTGAGGGCTTCCAAGAGGAGGTGATACATTTGGGGAAATGTCAGCAGTTCCAGTGGCTGAAGCTAGGAATCAGGTTGGAGTGGGGGAAAAAAAGGTCAGAGGTGGGAAGAGGACCAGCAACAGATGGCCTTGGGTGCTGAGATAAGAGCTTGGCCTCACCCAAGATCCACTGGAGGGTTTCAACAGGGAAGGGCCAAGATGCAATTTACATTTTCAAAAGAGCACAGAGGCTGCTGGAGGAGGATGGCTGGTGGGGCAGGAGGCCAGTGAGGGGCCCCTGCGTTTGTCTGGGAGAGACGCTCTGGAGCCTAGGCTAAGGCGGTAGGCAGTGGGAATGGAGAGAAGGGATAGAGTCAGGAAAAGTTCTGGGGATCAACAGGTCAGACAGCATTTGGCACTATGGGGTGAAATGTGCAGTCCTGGGAAACTGAGGTCTGGTACCTTTCAGAGGGAGTAGCAGCAGGATGGGGAGTGAGGAGAGAGGTTGAAGAGTTCTGGGAGGGCCAGAAAGGGGTATCCAGGACTGAACTGGATATTTGGGTCTGGACCTTGAGGGGTGGCCTGGGACTTGGGCTAACCCCCAGCCTAGACTCTGACTTTCCCCTTCTTCCAGCCACACCCCTGCCAACCCAGCTGCTCTCTGGGTCCCAGCCCAGAGCCCTCACCAGCTCCAGTTTCTGGGAAGCAGTGGAACAGCTCTGAGGGACTCATCTCTCCGTCTAGGCTCTCCTCAGGGGCCCCCAAGCCTGAGCCTCCAGATGAACCACTGCACTGGTAGGCTGGGCCAGGGTTGATGGTAAAGCCTCCTAAGAAGGCTGGGATAGCTAGGGCTGGCCTCACCTGCAGGGTGTCCCGGATGGGGCCCCGGATATCAATCACCTCGCCTTGCCGGATCACAAACTTGGGGAGTTTCTTCAGAAACTTCTCGGCAGTCATCTTGGAGCCTATAGGGAGGGCATTGGAAGCCTTGGCCTGGGGAAGGACTGTTAGTGATGGTGGAGGAGGCCACCTGGAGCTTGTCTTGCACAGCACCCCCACCACCTAGCTCAGCCTCAAGGCTGAGCTCACCTGGGTGCTCCATCCTGTCCAAGGGCTTGCGAATCCTCTGCCGGCCCACCACGCGGCCCTCACCTGGGAACGGGTCCAGCCCATTCTCTGGGTAGACCTGATTGCGCAGGTCACTCACCTGGCAAGAAGGAAGGGAGACAGCGGCGGGCCCAGCTCTTCAGCCCTGGGCTGCACCCCACCTCCCTTTCCCAAACAGAGGCCCCAGGAATAGGCCCAAGGGACGGTCTGGTGCAATCTCCATTTTACAGGTGAGGAAACTGAGGCCCTGGGAGAGAGCAGAGGAGCTACGGTTCATGCTGCTATTGCCCACCTGGGCCCTGCTCTTCCTGCAGGCACCCCTCATCATGCCAGCTGAAGCCACACTATTAACATCCTCCTCAGGAGCCCCTCTCAGGAGCCGACTGGGAGGGGAGGGATGGGGGTGTTAGGAGAGGGCAAAGCTTGTCTTGGCATGGACTGCCTCACACACCTCCAGTCATGACTCATGCTATTTTCCAAGACGTGGTGGCACACGCTCCCTCACATGCCCTCAGTGGGGAACTAATGCCACCCTCGGGGACACTGCCTCATGAATGCCCATCACAGCATCCTCATCTCACCTCCCACCCCCCACAGCAGGGGACCGGCTCCATCTCATGTCCCTTAGTCCCAACATTTTCCCCCCATAGCACTGCCCTCCACTTCAACCAGATGGCTTCAGGAGCCTCTGGAGGAAGCCGGGCCACTTTTGCATAGACTCCTCAGGGACCCCAGGCTGTCAAGGTTTCCTGAATGCTGGGAAGGAGGGGCAGTGGTCACACACAGCTGAAGGCTGTGCCTTGAGAGTACCAGCAGGGGGCGCTGCCTGCTGCTCAGCCACAGGCCGTCTCCCCTGCTGATGTGGCAACTGTGGCCATGCAGTCTCCCCACTCCCTTCCCGGCCTGGCTTCAGGCTCACCCTCCTCCCACAAGTCATCAGACTGGGGTCCCCTGAAATGAGACAGTGGCTTCCCGCCTCAGACTGAATGAAGCCTGAGGAAGCTGTTTATGCCCACCCCCCTCCAAAATCCCCACACAGAGTAGGTGGTTTGAGGAGCAGCCCGTCACCTGAAAAGGGACCCCATCAGGGTACAGCCGCTGGAGCTCTGAGGGGAAGAAGCCATCCAATATATCTCGGAGGCAGCGCTGCAGGGGGAGAGGGAGGGTGAGGCCTGGCTGGACCTGTGCAGTGCCCCCCACCTTGCTTCCTGTCTGGATGGCACGCCCTGGGCCCTGGCACACCCTGGAAATATTCAGAGCCCCAGGACTTGGGTGGGGGCGCTTCTGCAAGTTGCACATGAGCCTGGGTGCCCGTGGAGTAAGCTGGGCTGAGAGTGACCTGGGACCCACCATCTCCAACTAATGGTGAGAAGGGGTGGGGCAGCAGAGTGGCCTGAGTTTGTACAGGCCTGTCTCCCCTGTCCCCTACTCCTACCTGTGTGGAGGGATCATAGAAGGGCCGGAAGGGCCCATCGAACATCATGATGCCATTCCGGTAGAGTTTCAGTGGGATGGGCTCAAGGACATGGAACTGCACTCCACCGGGCACTGGTGTCACCTGCATGTCACTGTCTACCAGCTCACTGAGATCCTTCAGGCTGGCCAGCAGCCTATCAAAGTCCACCTCGGGGGGCACCAATGAGTCCCCTGGCAAAGAGGATAGATACCCATGAGCCTCTCTTCATGGCTGCCGTGTGCCCTAGCAGCCCTGGCTTCCACAGCAATCTTTTGTCGAGCGCTCACTTTGTGCTGGGTGTTTAATATGTATTATCCCATTCTCGCTTCATACCAACGCTATGCTGCAGGGGCTACAATCATCCCCATTTTTCAGATGAGGAAGCTGAGGGTTAGAGAAGGTCAGTGGCTTGTCTAGGGATGCACAATAAATGGCAAGAGCAGGATCTAATCTCAGGGCTGTCTGTGTCAGGCACTGGCTTAGAAGCTGAAAAGCACTGTACAGAGCTCCCAGCTCGGGATCAAAGTTGTCTGGGTTCAAATCCCAGCTCCTCCACCTCTACTTGTGTGACCTTGGTCAAGCCATTTAATGCTCTTCATCACAGCATCCTCTTCTAGAAGGGGATGATAATAGTGTCTGCCTCCCAGGATGGTTGTTAGGGTCCAGGAGGATGACAAAGTAAGGGCCACCTGGGAACACGCACTCTGTCCATGTTAGTTATTGTTACCAACTCTACC